CCAGGGCAAGCTGAAGCGAGACCCACTGGTCAGCTCGGCGATCTTTCGCGACTCAAAGATCAACCGCTACAAGGAGAGCCGCCGACTGGAGGAGGCGCTGACCGGGCTGAAGGCGCTGCTCGCCGAGCAGAAGGAAGATCCGTCGAAGATCGACGAGGACGTCGAGCGGCGCTTCTACCTCACGCTGATCCGCCTCTGGCTGGGACGGGTCGTCGATGAGCTCGCCTCCATCGAGCTGGAGAAGCCAATGGCAAAGATGCACCTTGCTTCGGTGGCGGCCGGTAGCTCTGCAGACGCTAGCGGCAGCTCGAACCCTGGCAAACCGCACTCGCACCACCGAAACCCCTTCGTCGCTCCCAAGCCCAAACCTAAGCCACCGATCATCATCACCCGTGACGCCGCGCAGAAGGCCGTCTTTGGCATTGGCTACCCCGCCTATCCGACGATGACCGTGGAGGAGTTCATCAGCGGCAAGGAGGCGGACGGGTCGCTCGCCTTCCAGGACAGCCGCGTCTACGGGAACTCGCTGTACGACTGGGCCAACGACCCGGAGAAGAAAGTCGCCGAAGAGGTGAGCGAGGAGGAGCGAAAGGAGCGCCTCGAGGAGGCGGACGACCCGGTGGAGCTCGCCCGCCGCCGTCGCATGGACGACTGGAAGGACGAGCACCGCAGGGGCGAGGGCAATCGCCACAACATGGGCTAGTGGGCTAGNGTGGAGCTCGCCCGCCGCCGTCGCATGGACGACTGGAAGGACGAGCACCGCAGGGGCGAGGGCAATCGCCACAACATGGGCTAGTGGGCTAGGCCCATTTTGTCGATCATCATCATCACCTTCAATCTTTCCATCTTTCCTTTCTTCTCTACTATTCTCATCAATAGCTCTACAACCTCGTAACCTGTTGTCAGACCGTTGTTCATTTTCTGATTTCTGATCCGATCACTACACGTACACTTACATGCACTGAGTTTACTTGTGATTGTCAATCAGGTGCACATGACGCAACCAGACTGCAATCCTCATTGAACTGGTGGTGGTGAGCCTCAGTAATCATCAAAGCAGATATTGTATAAAAGGCCATCATTGAGGTGCACATTGTGTTCATTCTGTCCTGTCACTCTGTCGACACTTTGTCAAAGAAAAGTGTTTTTTATTTTGCAAATCTAACTGCAAAGCTGCAGGCAAATTCACTAAGGCGCGCCCGAGAGAGCTTAGACAGTTGAACTCAATTCTGCAGCAGAATTATTCTTCTGCTATATCGCGGAGAGTGAATTGAGTTGAGTGCATATAGAAAAAAACACTGTTTTTGTTTTGGGTCGTCTGTCAGTCGATTTCTTTTTCTGCCATGTCAAGTCAGCAACAGTCGTTAACCGTGCTGATATCGGCCACTCCAGGCTGGGGCCACATCAACGCTGCCGCGGGGGCTGTCTCCGGTCTGCTGAAGGCTGGCCACCACCGACTGGTGTACCTCCTGGAGGAGTCCTTTGCCGGGAAGCTGGCGCCGCTGGGCTTCGAAGAGCTGCTCTATTCCAATGCGGAGGTGGACGCCCAGGGGAAGAAGGTGACCAGAAGCGCCGGGGAGAAGCAGGCCGATGACCTGCTGGTCAGCAGGATGTTCGGTCCCGACTCGCCGGAGGAGAAGATGCGCACGATGGTCGCCTACCTCGATGGGCCGCTGCGGCTGGCCGATATTGCCGTGCTCGACCAGGCGCTGAAGCGGGCGATCAGCTCGGTGGCGCCTGATGTGATCTTCTACGACGGAAACGCCTGTCCCCCGGCGATCCACTACTCAGGCGTGCCCTGGGTTCGCGTTCTCAGCAATGCGCCGCTGATGTACGCTCAGGATGAAAGTCTGCCGCCGGGAGCTTCAGGTATGTTTGCACTTCTTTTTTGATGATTCATGGTTTCTAAAACTGAAATGTACATGTTTTCTTTTGCAGGCTACCCTTCCAATGGCGCCAACAAGGCCGAGTGGGCGGCCTTCAACGAGCTTCGGCGGGGCCTCTTCTACGGTCGGCCGCTGAACGACAAGATTGAGGAGCTCGGCTACGAGCGGTATCCAGGTGACGCCCGGTCGCCCGCCGACTCGCCCATGCTCACCGTCTACGCGACGCCCGAGGAGCTCAACTACGAACCGATTCGCCGGATAGCGGGCTGGTTCAACCTGGAGGTCTTCAACAAGAACGAAAGCAGAGAGCTCATTGATCTACAGAAGCTTCTGCCGGAGGAGTTTCTGCGCGACCGATCCAGTGGCGAAAAGTACAGCGGAAAGCTCATCTACGTCTCAATGGTAAAGGATCTCGCTTGTTTCTTTGTTTACAAACGGTGTAAACTCACCTAATGTTTTTCTTTCTATTCTCTCTCTATCAGGGCTCCCTGGGCTCGGTTGACCTGCAGCTGATGAAGCGGCTGGTGGAGGTGCTGGGTGCCACCCGCCACCAGTACATCTTCTCAAAGGGCGCCAAGGCGGAGCAGTACGAGCTGGCGGCGAACATGTGGGGCGACCGCTTCCTCCCGCAGACCTCCATCATCCCCCAGGTCGACCTGGTGATCACTCATGGTGGAAAGTAAGTAGGATTTTCGTGTTATCCTTTACAAAATACTTTTTTCATTACTAAAGCCTCTCCTCTACTTCTTTTCACCTTAGCAACTCGGTGACGGAGACCTTCGCCCACGGCGTGCCCATGATTGTGCTGCCCAACTTTGCCGACCAGTTCGACAATGCGCAGCGCCTGGCGGAGACCGGCCTGGGCGCTCGCCTCGATCCGTACCGGTTCACCGCCGAGCAGCTGACGGCCGCCATTGATGGCCTTCTCTTCAGTGAAGAGCTAAGGGCGAGGCTGAAAGCCGCCGCGGAGCGAATTCAGCGCACCGACCGACATCGACAGTTGGCGAGGACAGTGGAGGAAATGGTGGCGGCGGCCAAGAAGAAGCTGAAGGAAAAGTAAACAGTAAAGATGATATTCAATTGTTCCCAACTTCTTTTTACTACTTGTTATACAGTTTTTTAATATACCGTTTTCTCGGAGTTGAATCTAAATGTACATATCACAAAGTGTTGGGCGTTTGCAGGCGGTTGTGGTGGTGGTGGAGTATATATGTAGCAGTTAGCAAAAAGAACTGACAAAAAGAGGTTTGCAAAGAGTGTCTGAACAGAAAGAGGGAAGCGGAAAGGAAGGAGGAGAATTGTAGGTAGTGAATTTATGAAATGGGATCACAGAAAAGGCGTATGATAAGTAAGAAATGATGAAATGGTATGCTGAGGCAAGAAAAAGTTAGAAAGGGAAGACAGTGTGACTAAGCACCCGAGAAAAAAAATGATGTAGAATACTGAATAGCAGTAGTAGTAGTAGAAGTGAAGGAAGAGAGAGGGAAGAAAAAGAACTTAACGATTGAAGTAGGCTGGCTGGCTGGCTGGCACTACTTGGCGGCTGGAGATCGAGATTGAGCGGCGGCGGCGGCGTCAATGTCAGCCTGGTAGATGACTCCACTTGCCGCCTCAAAGGCGGGCAGAATTATTTTCGCCTTCTTTGAAACACGAGAGGCACGGGTGGTAGTGGTGGTGGTAGGCTTGGCAGCAGCAGCCGAAGCATCTTTAGCCTCTTCACCTAAACCCAAAGGCGAATCGCCGAGCAAGTCACTTTGGTCGGCGGTGCATTTCGTCTGTCGACGGCCGCCGCGGCCCGGTCGCTTGGTTGCACTGGCCAGAGTCTTCGTCGTCGCCCTTGTCTTCCTCTGCTTGGTGACATTGACGCTCACAGAGCTGTCGAAGATGTCAGCCAGGGCTGCCTCCCGCCTGGCTCGGCGCGACCTGGTGGTGGTGGTGTTTACCTGCTCAATGGAGGCGAAGAAGGCGTCGGCCGTCTCGTCGAATGCGTCCACATGCTGAAAGTGCTCGTCGAGGCGCTCCTCGGCCGCCGACTTTCGGCCGCGAGTCATCCTCTTCTTCTTGCCGATACCCACAGACGAAACCGCGTCCTGGTCTTCCATTTCATCGAGAATCTTTGAGACTCGAGTGCGTCGAGCTCTAGAGGCTGTTTTAGAAATGGGGTGTTGAATTTGGAAAAACAGTCAGTTTAAAGTCACAACAACAACAACAACAACATTTACTTACGAGTTTCACTGAAGCCGAGCATCTCTTCAAGCTCATCGCGAGCCATCTTTCGACGACCACGAGCACCACCACCTCGTTTGGGCTTAGGCTTCTCCTCCGCCTCTTCAACTTTCTCCTTCTCCTTCTTCTCCTCTTCTTCTGCTTCTTTTTCTTCCTTGACCGCAGGCAGTCCTTCTCCTCGGCGACGAGTTTTCGAAGACTTTCGAAGGCTTTGGCAGTTCCGAAGGACTGGAGTGCTGTCAGTGGGAGCGATGCTGTTGTCGTAACTACAAACACTGTGGTCATCGAACTCAGTGGTAGCACAGACAAGCACTTCAGGCTCACTTTGCAAAGCAACTGTGGCTGCTAGTGGCTGCTGTACTTGCTGCACTGGCTGTGGTGTCAGCAGCAGCAGCAAATCGCCAACACCGCTCACATTACACTGGTAGTCGGCGAGGGGAGTTCCCGGATGCTGCAGCAGCTTCCTCACCCCACCGTCCACATGTGAGCTGTAGTCCGCCGGTGGAGTGCCCGGCTGGGCGAGCCTCTTCAAATCCGAGTCCACGTAGGTTTCATAGTCGGCCTTGTGAGGGCTCTCGGCGGCCTCATGGCTTCGTACAGCGGTGGTGGTGGTCGTCATTTTCTCTCTCTCTCTGTTGCCGGTAAACAGTTGCTCAGCCTGGATGGTGAGTAAGTTGGTGGTGGTGGTGGTCTGCTCCACAGGCAACCATTGAAAAGTGGGCAGATCGATGGCCGATTCGCAGTTCAGTGATCGGCGTGCTTGTCGCAACAAGGTCTGAGGTTGACTGACAGACAGACAGACTGCACAACAGAAGCACGTTGCCGCAACGTTTCGGCCACAGGCAACGGCCGCCGCACAGCTGTGATGAGAGCTCTGCCCTGCACGTGGCAGCGTTTTTTAAAAATTCGAAAACTTTGGCGGGCTAAATCAGCCACCAGGCGGCGAAGGTCTGGTAGGCAGAAAATCCTTGTTTCAAACATAAATCCTTGCGAAAGCATTTCGAATCAGTTTTTTGTTTGCTAAAAATGCCATTCCTGAGGACATCCTTGACGCTTGGTGCTTTGTGTGATTTCCTATTTTTTTTGTTGCACTCTGCAGAACCGGTGAAGTGGTGGTTCTCCGACAAAAATCATTCAATTTTTGCTTTTGATTTCCTATTTTTTCGCCAACTTGCCACCTGATAAAATGACAACAACAACAACATCCTTTGTTCACTTTTTCCCATCCTGTGCCTCATGTGACATCCTTTTGTTTAAAGTAGCTCCTTTTAGATATCGACCATTTTAAGCCCCATTAAGTGAGTATAAAAGCGGCTTCACTTTGCAGTGGAAGAATCATCAATCAGGACAGTTGTCAAGTGAACTGAAAAACCTGCCCAACGATGAATCGAATTTTGGTTCTGCTTTTTGCCCTCTTCCTTCTCATGCTGGCCTTCGCTGCCACCACCGTTGACGCCCAGTGGGGGTAAGTGATCACCGTTGCTGTTTGATGTTTAAGCCCTTCTTTTTCATTGATAACCAACACTGAACACATTGCTTTTCAGTCGTCGATGGGGCGGTGGAGGAAGGTGGGGCGGTGGTGGTCGACGATGGAGTGGTAAGTTGATGAAGATAAAGCACTTTAATTGATGATCTTTCTAACCGCTATTTTTCTATAACTTCTAGGTCGCCGGTAAGTGTTACCTTCAACAAGTGTGTGGAGCACACAAACACAGTTTCTAACTTGGTTTAAACTTTTCTTTCAGCCGCGGATGGGGACGTTAGACTCTGGATGACGTTGTCTCCTTGAGATTGGGTTGAGGTGAACCATCCTTGAACGTGTTCCTTCTCCTCTTTCTCCTCAGCAACAAATATTAATCAAATAACCACTATTTCTGTCTTTTGCTATCGACTCTAAATTCTCCTTTTTAGACGTTTGACACACACAAAACAGTAGAGCAATTATATTTCATTTTTTTGTTATTTTTTGTTTTAAAAAATAAAATTTTTTTGGCTAAACTTTTCTTGTTTATGAATTTAAAAATGAATTTCAGCAATTTCAAACTATCTCTGACTGTCAGTTTATTTGTTGAATAGTAGAGAAGAAATGCTTATTGTTGCTGTTCCCAATTTTCCAACCTTGTTTTTCCCCATTTCCTCAAATTGGTCAGTTTCCTGTAGTGCCTCCAGAATCATATCCACTTTGTATTGCACTGGCTCATAAATAGAAACAGAAATAGTGTCTGTGTGCACACTTTCAAAACAAAGTCGTTCGTTGACATCAACAAATTAATAACACACTTTTGTTTCAGTCGCAACACACAATGTTTTACTGCTCAAGTACTCCCGTTTTGCTGTTAATTTTACTTTTGTTTATGGTATTCCTCACTTTCAGCTCTGCCCAGTGGATGCCTTTTCGCCGGACTCGCTGGGGCTCAAGGTGGGGCAGCTCCTGGCGCCGAGGTGGCTACATTCCGCGCAGCTGGCTCAGAGGATGATCAGAGGCAGAAATTAAGAGTAAAGTGCCTCTGGTGCAGCCAGTTATTGGGAAATTATTTAGGTTTTCAACAAGCATTTTTATTTTTAAAAATATTTTTTAATGACATTGCCCAAGTTTTGATGCACCTTATGAAACTTTTTCACTGTAAAAATGCTAATTTATTTTACAAAAAAACAGTCAATTTAGTTTTGAAGATTTAACCTTGCCAATTAATTTTTTCTTCGTACAGTTGAGTTGTATTAAATTATTGTCTTTTTTCAATAAAAAGTCAATATATAAAATGCAGTTTTGTTATTAACATTTTCAAATAAAAATTTAGAAATCATCAAGTAAAAAATGAAGCTCCTTTTTAGTGCGCTGTTTGTCTTTTTATACGTAGCCAGTGTAACTGGACAAGACCCGGCACCATTGGGGACGGTTGAAAAATTCAAAACTAGTATAGTTCCACAAATAATTAAAGAAGAAGGAGTTAAGCACCAGCGGCCATATTACTTGGATAAAATAACGTCCGCTAAGTACATTGGAAAGACATTGGCAATTGAAGTCAACTTTATTCTTAATCATATGGATAAATCCATGGCGCCGAACTTGAAGTGCAGTGCTGTTCTTTCTAGTAAGATATATCTTTAACTTTGATTTTTAACCTATTTATTTATACTTATCAATTTTCTTTTTCTTTTATAGGTGACATGGAAATTCAAACCCACAAATGCGATGACATTTAAAAAAATTTTTGTTTTAAAATTTTAAAATGGTTTTATTTTTAGAAAATAAAGTTTTGTAGTTCTGAAGGTTCTATTTACAGTTCTATTTTTTGAGCCAAACATAACTTTTTTATTTGAACACAAAACTTTGAATTTATAGTCAAACAACTTTTTTGGTATCAGTCTCACAACTCCTAATGTCAGCCTCATCATTCTCCAAAACAAAGGATTTCAAACGCTGGGATCAAGGTATTTGCAAGCGAAATCCTCACTACGTTCTGCTGTACGAGCAGATGTCTGCAGTGGCCAAAAACGCAGCAGTCAGCAAGTATGAAGAGTCTTCAACCTCTAAAAAACCCATCCTAAACTTCCAGCACTTCAAAACAGCGACATTGACTTTTGGTGGCGCTACACCGTGGTCACCTTTGGCTTCACCAACTCACTGAACCCCGAAAAGCAGCTGCCTGAAGTGCTGG